TCATTTTTGTGACTTGTATCCTCTTATAATCACAGTTGTGGTGATGAGGTGAAAATTACAACAATGAATTTGTATCACAATGCTGCACTTACAGTACATGACATGAATAAAGGAATTAAATACATTTTGACCAAACACTAATGTTGTTTTGAGAGGTCACTGCGGTGCTGTTTCTGGAGTCTAGGAGCTGCACATTGTAAACTGAACTGTGCAGATTGATGATAAATCAGTAGGCCACTTTTTGAGCTGACATTCTTGGGTAGCCCTACAGGTTGGATTCATGCACATTAAAAGTTGACTCCTGTCTTCTGTCTGCAGATTAACAGTCCACAGGTTGGGTGCTCGGACTCTGATTCGCTCCCTGGAGATGCAGGACAGATTGCACAGAGAACAGCGAGATGGAGAAGTGAAGAAGAAGGTGGTAGAGCTCAGTGTCCAATCAGGAGTGAGCAGTTCCTACACTGCCTTCATTGCTGTCAATAAAGATGATGGCAAGACGATCCAAGGACCCCTAGTGCGCAGAAATGTTCCAGCACCCAGTGAGTGTTTTTTTCAAGAGCAAATTTAAAAACTTGTACTGTATCACCCACTGATTATAAAGTTACTATAGCTGACCATGAACGATAGTAGCACAATAATAATCCTAAGGATACGAAAGCACCAGGGTCACTGGGGTGGGGGGGCTGGAACCAATCCCAGCTGACACTGGCTGAGAGGAGGGGTCCACCCTAGACAGGTCACCAGTTTATCACAGGGCTGACACTTAGACACAGCTTTTAGCATTATGAGAGTCATTAATGAATACGTTAACACGTCTACAGTTCTGAATTCTGGATTTCTGCGGTCGACTGTTCAACAGCTGAGATGTAGCATGCTGATGACCATGTCATGTAAGTAGTGTGAATGAGATTTAAACACATTTATGCATTTTTAGAAATGCAGTGTATGGATGGTGCCTTTTGTACCTTAGCTTCTTTTATTACCTAGTGTGTTCTTTTACCTGTCTGTACTTTGTGAAACACCTGAAGTTGCCTTTTGGTACAAAATGTGGTATACAAATGAAATTGCCTTGTCGCCATCTAAAAATTACTGTTACTCTGCTCTAAAAACTACTGTTACTCTTACTGAGATCAGGTCGTC